GTCTACGTTTTTCAATAAACAAATATTTTCTACGACTCAACTGTATTCTTTGGAGATCTCGACAGGGAAATCACAACAGGTTATAGGCCCAGGACGGCGATAAAGTAGCATCTTCGAGAACAAACGTCGTTGGAAAGCTGAAAAATACAGGACAAGATTGGAGCAAGTGCTTCGGATGATGAGTGCACACGTCAGACGAGCATAATTGTTTCGCAGCAAGTCAATAATCTCCCAATAAACTGAGCAATGCAATCATCGAGAAAATAGAAAACTGAAAATTGTCCAAACTGTAAGTACAGTCACATTCAAATGTCAAGTCATGTGATCAACATGGATACAGTCAGGACTCTCATGGTGATGTCAACTATGTGCCATGGAGATTAAAGTTGTCGTTGTCGTTATGAAAACAAAGAAAATGTATGATATAGCTATGGGAGCAAAAGCAATACTCCAGAAGTCAAGGCATGGATCGAAAAGTATTCGGAGGCTCAGCAGCTCATTGTTTTCAATGTGAGCGATCAAATTGTGTACAAAATTGCACACTGTCTGTCAGCAATACAAATGCTGGAAAAACTAGTTTGACTTTATGGTACAAAGACTGATATTACTATGGAGATTTTGCGAAGACAATTTTTCACTTACACTTTTGATGAAAGTAAATCGGTCATAGAAAACTGCATGGTGTTGTTGTCCATTGGTGAACAGCTGTCAACGGAGAATGATTCAGTTCGAGACTCCTGGATGATGACGAGGATTTTGAGTATGTTACCTCCCAGACTGGCACACTTTGGTACATCGTGGGTGCGGACATGAACTCCACGATAATGATTGAGCGGTTACGACTGGAGGATGAAAGACAGAACAACCAAAGCAATGCAAAGCAAAGTATTAGGTATCATTTTTATGAATGTCTGCATATTAACATAGAACTCCGCGACAGAATAATAACAAGAACTAAATTGTAGATAATGATCGATGTTAAAATTCCTATCACGCGAAAATAGAACATTATCCTCTCAGCTGAACATTACCTTTATATCTTTCTGCATTTCATTCTTAATCAATTTGAAGAGGAGCTGGCTGCTCTGTTTCCAAATTGATCATTAGTGGAATGCCGGCAATAGCCAGCAGCAGGCCAACAGTAGGGGTTCAATTTCGAGATAACGGGACAGGAAAGCGGCGTGGTCGGACCCATTAAATGTTACGAAGCTTGTTAAGCTTTTAATCGGTTGTAGTCGTGGCTCGAAATGCAACTCGGGTTTCGTTTATTAACCGGCCTTTTTCACACAATATAAACCACATTACTTCCACTGTTCGATTCTGCTTATTAGCTGATGACGTGACGTAAAAAAACACTTGTTTATTAAGCTTTATCCCATATAATAATAAGAAAAAAACAACCAAGCTGGAGCAAATTCAGTAGTGAATGTTTGTTATGTTGTTTTGTATTATTTATACTTGTTTTAGAAATAAAATGAGTAGTTTATTTTTATAATATCTAATTAATGCACAAATTTTAATAGTTGTTAATTTCTTATCAAATTAAATGCATTTGTATCATCGATATAGACATAGTAGCATTATTAAGGGTTGTTTCAGCCAATTTATTCAACGACATACGGCACATACCTGTGTATTGTCACATGTATGTAGGCAACCCAACATACATAGTCGCAAAGAAGACCCAGTTTCTAGGCGGCATGTACTGGATCATTCTAGAAACACAGTCAGCCTCTACAAATAAATGTCGCAAGATCGAGTGGAGTTAATTCACTTCTAGTTCCGCTTTTTAGAGCGAGTGTCCACCTATCACTTCAGAGGAGGACCACCTACTTCGACGGTTTTCCTCTCCAAATACTCCTTTCTCCCCCCACATTCAACCCTTTTCCCAACTCAATCCTCTTTCCAATCCCAACCTTTCCATTTCCTCCCCGGAAATGAGCAACCTTCAGGTTTATCTCCCCACTCTAGGAGAGTTTTTCGTCGGTAAAAATCCGACATTACCTCCCCTTAAGAGGTATCTTTTGAAGATTTTCCCTAATCGAGAATAATCTAAACAAAAACAAGATCGAGTGGAGTCAGTATGAGAACTAGTTTGAGACGATACAAAGCGAATGAGCGAAGAAGTGACAAAGCGTTAATATAGTGGTGAATTGATCACTAATGAATAACAGAAGTGTTAATCAGACAGCAAATAGATAAATAAAAGTAGTAATAGTAGGAGAAGGGGTTTCAATACGTGACAGTTTTATGTCTTTCGTACGGTATTATTGGACCTATATCAAGCTAGCACCACAAAATTAAGTATATCTAGTATAACCTCTAAATTACACTATAAAATGTCGCTGAGTATTCACTAATTTGTTACCGAGTCAAAATATTTACTGACAAATATGTAGAATAAACTTGAAATCAAGCAGGTATTACCACACACAGCGTAACTCGAAATAAAAATGACTTTGAAGAATACGATGAGGGCCATTAACTAGTAGCTAATATCCCGCAGACCGAAATTCCAGAGTATCTTAAAATTTGCTGTCATATAAAATACTTGTAGTTATTATAATATGTATAATAATAATAATTCAGTTTTAATGAGTTCGTACTGTTTTGTTAACTTTATCATTAAAATTGTTTTGATCAGTAATGGCTCTCTGCTATGTCATTTCCTGTATGGTGATAATCAAGTCAATAGTTCATAATCGCAATAAACGAATACCAGAAACACAAGTAATTATGATAATTACATGGTAATTTATCAAACTGTCCCAATTTAAATAATTGAACTCAAAATAATTATACTTATAATATGAAATTAATTCATTCTTAAAAAGATGTACCTAGTGTACATTTTTGCGAATTTTGGGAAAACTTAAAGTTATTTTGCAAATAAATTTTTGTGATCAGAAGAAACTCTGAAAAGATATAATTTAAGCCTCGAAGGCATTGCCTACTATCTACACGGACCGAGAATTTTTTATGCAAAATGTTTCCAACTAATTTTGACCTGTTTTTTGTATCTTTTCAACATCTTCCTAAAAACTATTTCAGTTATATACTCGATTCCCACTATTTTTTTCCAATTATTTATCGTGTTTAGAAACCCGATTTTCCTTACGATGAAACTCGTCTACAGCCTGTACTAAATACCTCAACGTAGTAAAGTAGGTTTAGATGGAAGTAATACATGTAGAAGAAAGTCTCCGAACTTTATTCAATTTGGTGATGTCAAAACTGTTTCCTTTATATCCTCACCAATGTATCGATATTAGGATTAGGCTACCATACCAACAATAAGTGCACGTATAAGCATTTACTGCAGTAGCTGTCTTGCAAAAACGCTTTCCACTTCTTTTTATGCATGGGTCTACAACCTTACACAGAGTAACACACTACTTTAGTCAGCTTCATAGTTCCAACCAGAGATATGATTTATTTGTAATTCTCGCATTTAAAATGCAAATACAAAATAAAAAATACCTATTTTCATTTTGCATTTAAATACTTTATCAGAAAAGCATTTTGTATTTTATTTAAAATACTTAATGTTGCTTAATGCTAAATGCTAGTATCACCGATTTTATAAAATGATGAATAAAATAGTAGAATAAAGATTCGGGCTATAGGACCGTGGTCTAAGTGAACTATTCTGTCCAGACGTTTCGTCGGCTCCTGTGGCTGGCATCGTCAGTGGCTGCCGAAACTTCAAGATATAATCTACATTCACGTTGTCAACGCAGCACCACCATTTCCGGATTCACTGTCCATGGAATTTTGAAGTTCCAAATTGATATCAGCTTAAAAAAAATACGGAAGAACTGGTTTATTTAACTGATAGTATAATAAATTTCTACTTTCATTACCTAAAGTAACAGGTACATATGTTTGCCATATTACTGCTCATGTATTTACGTTATGAAAATTGTCACTTCTTTCTTAGTTAAATGTGACACACAACTAGGTTTATATTCATACATCATATTCATATACATTACATATCAGGTTCGTTCATAGGTTTTTTATCTCTGAGAAATGAATATTATTATGCAGCCTAGGTTATTGTATTACTATTCTTGCTTCATGATGACAATATGAATAAAGATGTTCTTCATTTGTTATTGTTATCTGTATACATACAACCTGAAATAAATAAATAAATAAATTAAAATAAATGAAAGAACAATTAAGTATTAGAATCTTTAATAAATAAATCAAAAATAATATAATTGGTAGGTACTTCAAATATTGATACCATTAAGTAAATACAATTAAATACTATTTTGTTATTTTTGTTGTTGTTGATTGTAAAAATACGTAAGTATATCTAAATTAAAAAGGCAAGATAAAAAGATAAGATAAGAACATAAAATTATGTAAATTGAAAACGCTGAAGTTCTGAAACGATAATGGTTGTTATGAAATATAGAACAGTTAATTAAGCCTAAGCAAAAACAGTTTCAAACAATTGAATGAAAACAAGTAACTAATCGCAAATATAACAATGCCTTATCAAACCATTCATAACTACTTTAGTTGGTGTACACGGAAATTAATTTCCAGTAATAAAAAATCGTAAAAATGATTGTTCTCTACAGCGAAATAATTAATTTTTCTAGAAAAAATAATTCCAATGAACGTCTGTGAACCTATTGTCTAGATGTAGGGAGCATAGGGACCACCTTATAAAATTTGCCTTCAAATCTTATTAAAAAAAACTGTTTTATTGCTCGAAAACTATACTAACCAATAAACTATCTCTTACTGTTGTATTGGTGGCTTACTTTTTTTTATGCGTTGATTTCTACTGCTTCGAATTTAGAATTTTTAATATATCTAACTATACATAAATAAGATCGTAACTTACCACCAACCACCCTTAATGTTAATAAGTTAAGGGTACTGTATTACACGTATGGATAATTCGAATCTTTTTAAAATGGAAATAGTGTAGTGTCACATGATAATGTTAGAAAGTATAAATACGAGACGCAATATGTAAGTAAAGCAGTTTCTGTGTCCGTTGATTTTAATAGTTGTTTATCGGCTTGGCGAACAGTTTCGCTAGTATAAAATTCGAAAATGCCCGTGAAAATTGGTGCTGTAGTCGCAAACTTCTCGGCTAATACCACTCAGGGTCCTATCAAGTTTTACGACTATCAAGGAAATTCGTAAGTTTATTTTGGTTTTTTCCTGAAAGAAAACAGCACATAAGTAAAACATGAACTCCTTGTAAGGCTGGCGTTGAAGGTGAATCGAATCGAGTATTACGTATCGAACATTCAAAAATTCAAGTAATTTTCGAATATTTCGGAGAAAATCGTATCAAAAGTTAGGAATATTTTGAAAATATCGAATAATTCGATTTTTTATCGAATAATTCTAAGTTTATCTGTTAATGAAATAACGTGAAATTATGTAAATATATTTTTTTCTATTTCAAGTAAATCATACCTGTTCATTTATCTGAAATAGTTCTATTTAAAATACAAATGTAATCCTATTGTCATTTCCCACTTTGAAAATTTCTCTTCGCCTAAACAAGAGTACCTCTATATTCATTGCTAAATGATTACTATTAAACTAATAGCGTCCTAGGTATAGTCAATTACAACAAAATTCCAAGTGTTATATCTCTAAAAACTGGTCTCATCAATCTGCAATAAGTTTCACACTAAGTCTAAAATTAATCATTTTGTAAAAGTATACTGGTAATGTTCAGTTTCAGTTTTTCTTGATTTTGTCTCGTACAAAGTGGCCCAAAAAATACGTAATGTGCTCACTGCAGTCAAACTGTAAGTTTCATCATCACCATAAGGTCCTCAGTCCTAAGACTGGTTGGACACGCACCTCCACTCTTTCCTATCCTGAGCTAATCTTCGCATTTCCCTAAAACTAGAACAACCCACATCCTTAACTATTTGCGAACAGTAATCTAATCTAGGTCTACCTCTACCCCTCCTAACTCCCGTTTCTGCCTATAATATGTCTCTAACTAGACCTTCATGCCTGAGAAGGTGTCCTACCAACCTATCTCAACTATTTTTTATTAACTTCCATAGTGTCCTTGTGTTCTTCTATTATTTCTAATACCTCTTAATTTCTAACCTTCTCTATACACGTTATCCTCATCATCCGCCTATAACACCACATTTCGAACGCTTCTAACCTTTTATTTTCCGCAGCGCCCACCGTCCATGTTTCACACCTGAACAGCGCCGCGCTCCAAACATACATCTTTAACAATCTTTTTAAATTTTCTAAATTAATCGTTCGCGAACATAGAAGTGACTTCTTTTTATTGAAGGCGACTGGACCCTGCGCTATCCTCTGCTTTATATCTCTACTACCCCTTTCGTCTTGACTTATCTAACTTCCTAGGTACCTAAAATCAGCCACTTCTTCTAATTTTTCCTCTCATATTTTTATATTCGGTCTTTCCCTACTTTTTCTTCCCTTGCATACCGGTATTTTTTGTTTTACTTTTGCTTTTTTACTGTAAGTTTAATCGAAAAATTTCGCAAAAAGTATTTGCTCCTATTTTAATACAAGATCGTCTGTAACATCTTAATTTGATTTGCTATACAGTGTGTTCGAAAATAGAAAAAATAAGGTTTAGTTTAAATGACAATCTTGTGAAATATGGGTCTAATCCTATAGTTACAAGAAAAAGTTGTTTAGAATGTCGAAACATGTATTCAATTGCTTCTTGATTCGGTTCAACTGACTCAAAAAGTTCGCAACTTGATAAAAGTGGGTATGGAGGCACAAGGGAACACAAATTCACAACCACTTAGTTTTAAATTCAACGTAAAATTCCCTGCCCAATATGCAGCTTTATAACGAGCAATTTTATTTAAATTGTGTTTTGATGAAAGTAATAAATTTTCTACAACTTGTTTTATTTTTCCGATGTATTGATTTTCAAAATAAGATTTTATTAAGTTCCGATAAGCTTCCATTATAAAAATTCGGAGCCAGATGCAGAAGTGACTGTGAAAATCTATGCGGAACTTCTGTAATTGGGGAAGCGGAAGCAGAGGTCTGTTGCAACAATAATTTACAGTAGACACTAGACGGATAACGTGAGCCTGTACTAGTTAATGTGCCAACCCTTCGCTTTTATACAATCGAATGACCATTGTAATCACCTTTCTGCCTTTTGTCCTTGTCTTTTTTGCAACTTAGTATGAGAAATAACAAATCGCTTTCATATTTCTAATGCGTCATATAACAACTACTTTTCATACCTTTACCGATTATATTGGGTACTGAAATTTATCTTTATCATTAATTGAATATTCTTGTTAACAGGTGGATTGTGCTTTTTTCCCATCCTGCAGATTTCACGCCTGTTTGCACTACAGAATTGGGACGGCTGGCAGTCCACGCGCCAGAATTTAAGAAAAGAAATGTAAAACTATTGGGTCTCTCGGTAGATAACCTCAAGAGCCACGTAGACTGGGTTAATGACATAAAATCTTACTGCAAGTAATACTTGGCTTTACATTATTGATTTTTTAATTGATCGATCTCAATTTAATTTGGTGGCGAACCATTTTATTACGAAACAGAAGACGGTTCTGGTTGGGTTTGGTTTATAACCTTCTGGGGCGTCTGGTTACATGCGATCTGTTTACCACGTCACCTGTTTAAAATATAACATTTCAAGAGTCATGTCACTCTCTTCTTCGGAGACTCTGAAACTAATTGGAAACAACAATCTAGACATAACAGCAGTTTCAGGTCTGCCGAAGAAAGGAGAGACAGTTGCCAAAACGTCAAATATTTTAAACTATCTAAAAGCCTTAAAGTCATTAAATTTTGATGTCTTTGGAAGTAACCTAACATATCTTGTAGGTAATAAGGCAACCGACATTGTTTATATTTAATTAGTAATTCTAACAAGGGCATTTTCAAGACGATTTANTGAGAGTGCACTGCTCGCCTATAAATAAATTCATCATGTGTCCAGCAGCGAATCCATTTCTAATGTGTAGAACTGTAGAAGCTTTCGTTGTTTATTTATTAGTACTTCTACGACAAAAACGACCATTTATTTCATCCTTAGGGACATCCGCGGCGAATTTCCGTATCCCATAATAGCGGACGAAAATAGTGAGATAGCAAATCTTCTTGACATGATCGATAATACTCATTTGAATAAGCAGAACGTGGAGCTAACCGGCAGAACCTTGTACGTCATTGATCCACAGCACATTGTAAGACTTATCATGAATTACCCAACATCAACTGGAAGAAATGTCGAGTAAGGCTATAATGTGAACCTCTTTAAAGTTCTCTAACATAAGCCATTAAATTTCAGCGAAATTATTCGAGTAATCGATTCGCTACAATTGGTGGATAGGATCCCTCAGATTGCAACCCCAGCAAACTGGACGGTAAATAAATTAACATTCATTCTTACAGCAATTAAAAAAGTATCACTGTAAGCCAATATGCCATTATTGCTCAACAAAGTGATCGTGACATTGACAAATTGTTAAAATCTAACCTATTTTCAAATGAAATAACTCACGAGAGTTATTAACTTATTAAGGGATCTCTGACTGTAAATGGACGAAGTCTAGAGATTTATGTTTATTTAAAAAATTTTTTTTTGTTTTATTTTTTTATTATAAACTATTTCGTTAATTTACTATATGACATCAAGTTGACCAATTTTGATTTAGCTGATCTGTGCGTCATGGATATAGAGGGCGCACATTGGGTTGTCTATTTCAGGGACAACCGCTGTCAAGTTACTTGTCAAAAGATCCATTTCTTCCATTAAACGATTTTTCAATACTGATTCCATTTTAAATCGAATTTTTATCCAAAGGACCTCATCTTCTTACGAACCTTATTCCAATAACCCAATATGCTATATTAAATTGTAGGATATCAATTTAACCGAGCTTCTCTCTTTCTATTAAAGCGACATCAAAACAGGTTTTAAATTATTTATCAATAATAGGTTGAGTTTTATGGTTATATTATGATAATGTTCGCCATATTGAGTTGTTGATGACGTGACCTCACCACAGGGAAAATATTTTCTCCTTTGTAGCTATTAATGATTAAATTGTGTTTATACATATGTAATGCGTTTATAATACTTACCAATAAAATAATTAATTATTTCAGCCTGGAGAAAAAGTCATGATTTTACCTCATATTTCTGACCAAGAAGCCAATGCTCTTTTCGATGGAAAAGTTGATAAAGTTTCAATGCCTTCTGGGGAAAATTATGTTAGAACAACTACGAACTACTCACATTCTTGAATACATATAAGCATATTCTGTAATTAATCCTTATATTCCAATATATGTTGTAATATGTTACAGTTATGATTATAAATAACACAGTGGTAGCAATAAAATGGATAATTGCTGGCTTTCTTTACCGTAAATTAGAAAAGTAGAAGGACGTTTACTGGCACTCAGTTCGCGTGTATTATCTTTTTAGTTCTTAATAAGTATTAATATTAATTGTACCTATAAGAAATTCAGTATTCGTTGTTTAACAAAACATGTTTTCGTTATAAAACAAATACCTACTACATATTTTACCTTTAACCTTCTCTATCCACGCTATCCTCATCATTCGCCTGTAACACCACATTTCGAACGGTGAACGGGGCGGCGAGTTTTTTTATCGTGGTATCCTCAATAGGCCTAATCCACATGGACGGAACTACACGCGCCTTCAGTGGAGGTCCTTCTTCTGGTTTGCCCATTCTTTGGATTGACTTTTGGCCTCCGGATTGAAATCATAAATTCACAGTGATTATTATTCGTTGCCAAAATTCATCACCGTAACGAGCTCTTGATGTTGACGATAAGTATCAGACCTATTAAGTGTCTGTTCTGGTCCCAACAGTCTTCGCACCCATCGTGGCGAAACCTTGCTAACGCCCAAAGAATCATGCAAGATGTCATCAACATACAGTGTACCTAATAGTAATTCGCCTATTATCTTTCAGTAGATCTTCGACAGTAATGGTTCTTTCGTTTACCGACATGCTTGGGCGCCCACTGCGGGGCTCGTCTCCTAGTGATGTTCTACCGATTATAAAATGATCGATCCATCGATAAACAGTACTTTTGGATTCTGCAGTCTCACCAAGTACTCCTTGCAGACGCTGAATAATTTCTGATGATTTCACACCTTCTTTCCACAAAAAAAAAATATTGCTCTTTGATAATTTACTGCGTCTTCCATGGTTACAAAAACTGTGCTATGAAAACGCGTTTATATCTGTCGAACATCTAAATCAGACTGGACAATATTGCACTAGATTGTTGCATAAATATGTCAAGACTTGTCTGGCACCAATGACATTATCTATAAATTCTGCGTAACTTAATTATAGCACAATTCTCAGACTTTGGAAACATCCCTCGTATCTATATCTCCTGTAGGGTTACAGAAAAGGCGAATAACATTGAGGCGCTTAAGTTTAATTTTAATTTAATCCTGGTGAACTAAAGGAGATTTTTCACAAAATGCTTAATGAGGTGTTACATACAGATAGCGTCATCTTTATCAGTCTCTTTACACTTCGTTAAACATTATATTTATAAGTGAGCGTGGCGTTCGCATCGTCATTTGTTACTTTACCTCCGGTTTTCTTTTCAAAAATGATTCGTGGAAAATTTTTGTTTTTATTGTTTTTATATGTTAAAATATTACGGCTTATTTAATGAAACTGAAAGTTAAAACTAGTTTTATTAAATAGTTTAATAGTTTTCATTGTATCGATGAATTGTTTGAATCGGAAAACTTCTGAATTCTACTTGATATACGAACTACCCGATACAATAATCTCACAGTAATCGATTTTAATTCCAAAGGGAAACGGTTTAAAACGGTCTGAACCGTTAATTCGATTTATTAACTCCTTATCGTCACAAACTAACCATAAAATATCCCGGCAACGGTATCTTGTTAGTTCTGCAAAGCGTTTTCAACGCGCCATTGGTTATGAAACTTCGAATAGCGACGGCGACGCTTAATTTCATTATGTTTTTTTTTATAACTTAAAATTAACCTCTCAAATTACCTACAAATAACGAAGATACAATGAAATAATTTTTATGTTATTGTAAAGGTACTAGATGTCTGCCGAACATGAGCTAGTTTTGCACATTTATTAAATCACATCCACAACTTTATATAGTCATTGAATATATTTTTCTACGATTGTATATTAAAATGATCCAAGAATACGAACATTTTTCTTCTCTCATGTGAAAATTGTAATGTTTTTTAATAACGTTAGCATCTTAGCCTAGTAATAGAAAGTGAAACCAAGCAGAAAAAATAACAAAAGACATTCATAATTAAACAGTTTGTTGGTAAAAGTAAAATTCTGGCCCCAAAAAATGATTTATCCATCTGAATTCACGTCGCATAACGTTGTGTCGCTGACTACAGCGCTCGACGCTTGGCGTCTCTGCGTCCCACACCGCGCGCAAACGGTTATGTTCAGAAGTCATTAGGGGTCGAGATACAAAGCGGAACGATTTAATAATTGATGACTAAAACCCAGTGGTGGTGACTAGCATTGTGCTCTTATCTGGCGACTTTCCACTCAATAACGCAATTTATGTTTTTATTACGTACTGCTAGGTTTAGGTAAACTCATACAGGGAGTTTCCAAAAGATAATGGCGAATAATCGGTCTACATAACTTTAAAACACACCACAGAATTTCAGTTATTCGGTTTCCCACTCTTTTACTGATATAAAAAGTGTCGTGAAATTAAAATTTTGTTTTATTTATTATAGAGGATTAAATCACTTTAATAAATTTAATAGTATTGTCTGCAATGCCAGGCGCTTACACCAAAATTGTTGTTTAATATACACAAATTATAACTTTGACGATTTTTTAATTTTTTTAATAAATATTAATGTGAAAATTCATTTTCAATTTTTTTATCCACTCTTTCAGTTTAATGAGGAAAAAATTTGTTATTATTGTCACACCCTTGCCGGGAATCGAACTCCGGACCGTTGTCTTTACCCACCAATGCTCTGACCAATATATGATAAGTATTGATAAGATAAAGGTTCCGCGTTTCCCGGCGAGGGTGTGACAACAGCAACAAATTTTTCCCTCATTAACCTGAGGGAGTTTGTAGTGGTTAAAAAAAATTGAAAATGAATTTTCACATTAATATTACAAATTATAACATTAGGTATCTTTAGCGATGAAGACGAATCTCGGCGTAGCTAACCTCAACGTGATAGACACGATACCATAATCGAATAAAATATAATATATATTATTATATATATATAATATTCGGGATTCGTTTCAGTAAGTAGATATCCATATATTTAAATGGACCTTGCTGGAGCATACGTAATCCTAAAATGTAGCATCGTGCTACAGATGGCGTGTACTGCGCCATTTGTAGTATTTTCTAAAACGCACTGTTAAGACAGCAGGTAAAAGTTGGTCTGTGTTCTGTCGGAGCTGCCTGCGACGCGCTGACGAGATCCAAAAAGATCGAAATCGCGATCCGCGTCTGGCAGTTTCGACAGAATCCAGACCACTTCGAATAATTTTATTAGTTTTTGTTGCAACATTTTTTCGATCTTTTCCCCCAGAGTTAAACGTTAAAATATCAACCTTTTATTATTTCAATTTGGGAAGCACAACTGCTCTTAGAAATTATACTTACCCATCTTTTATCTGCTTTTGAATCATTAAAATTTAGGTCTTGCTCAAGTTTAAAATCAAATTGCAAATGCGGGGCTTTTGGGAAGTTTGATGTGGCGCGTGGCAACAAGTGAAAAAGCGTTGCAATCCCGTTTAATAACCATCATCTGGCAGTCCTCCTTAATTTTAATTATTTTGAGGAAAGCGTTAAATGCTCTGGGGTTTTATTTGTAGTTCAAGTAGCTATGTGCCTGAGGCTTCGTTCGCTTGACATTTTTATCAATTTGTGATAAACCTTATAATCACAGACATTTTTAAACTTTACAACGTTTTCAAGAAGTTGAAGATATGCCCTGCGGAGCTCATTTCTACACCGATCATCGAGTGAGAACTAGACAAAAGTGTACAGTACCATTTGCAAAATTATTTAAACTGCCTCGTTAAAATTTAAAAATGTACTTTATTTAAAAGCATATTTAGCCAAAAATAATAACAAGTGAATTATCTTAACGCTCTACACACCTATAAAACTTTTGCTCTGTTTTCTATTGTTAATTTGTATACATTTTTGTTTTAAGAAATTGCTAAACATTTTGGTCTAGTACTGTACAATTCTAGGAGATCTTCTAAGAGCGCCCATCGAGAGCTCTGCTCGTTCAAGCTTGTTCTAACTATTTCTGTCTTGCTCACGCCTAGTGTGTATTCTTTCTATCTTCGCGCACATTTCTTCAAGGTCAAAATTCTAACAAATTGAAATGGGCTGTATATACCTGTAACCGTTACGACAGCGTTTTTTCGTTAACTTACGATAAAGAATTGGTCCCTACAATAAGACTATTTCTTTTAACAATATACAGCCTATACTTACCCATTGTAAATAGTGAAAGAATTTTTTAAATCGGACAAGAAGTTTCATCTTCACCATTATATGTTATTTACAAACTTGCAAACTGTATCTTTTATAATATTAGTACAGATTTGTAATAATTTGGGCCAATAAAATAATTACCAAATTAGTATAAGCCACCAACAAATTAATTTGTCCTCGGACTTGTCGAATTTCATTAAAATTATTATTGCCAACCCTTAAATTCCCAATATAATTTCGATGGTATTTCTAGTATGCATTCCAATAGACCATAAAACGTGTCATAGTTGTTATAAATGTGATGTAATGAAAATACCCTGGTATCGNAAAAGTGCAGTGATCTCAGCGAATCTAAGAGCATATTCATGTAGTCAATTACAAATACATAAGAATTAACGTAGTTTCTTCCGGTTGATAGGCGGAAAATAATTACCAAATTAGTATAAGCCACCAACAAATTAATTTGTCCTCGGACTTGTCGAATTTCATTAAAATTATTATTGCCAACCCTTAAATTCCCAATATAATTTCGATGGTATTTCTAGTATGCATTCCAATAGACCATAAAACGTGTCATAGTTGTTATAAATGTGATGTAATGAAAATACCCTGGTATCGCCAATGACCCTCGTCTCTCGCCTTTGCAAAAGCTGCGAGAAACAGTAGCTATTATACCATTAATAAACTGCTCTTCGCAATAATTAATTGGATCCCAAAACAAAGCGAGAGTATCCACCACTAAACAATAAGGGCAGGTGGGATGAAAACAGAAAGATTTATATTCAGGTTGTGCATCAAAGTATCGAATTAAGGTCGAAATAAATTTAGTAAAGTTGACTGAAGTCTTATTTCCAACAAA